TGCCCGGTCTGTCGGCCAGTGGACGGGGACCCGCTCACGGGCATGCGCGTCTGGGAGGAGCCTCACGGAGAGGTGACGGTGGTGCATCGTGCTGACAAAGCCTGCCCACAATTGCAGGCGGCGGAGGAATCCACGTTGGGCGCTGTCGGGGGCGAAAGGTCTCGGTTGGTGCAGACTCGCCGCGTCGACGTGTACCCTGAGAAGTTTAATGTGGATGATGATGATGGCTACTTCCCCGTTTCTTTGGAAGTACGTGCGCGGCAACAGCGCTTGTACGTTCTATCCAATCTGGTCGCCTCATTGGAAGCTTGCGAGGCTATGCTTTTGGATGTTGCCTTGGGAGATTTTGATGGTCAGCCTGCTCGCCAAGGCACTCGAGATCTCGTAGGAGGGGGCAGGAAAGGAACCGAGGGAATAAAGGTGAAGGGCGCTGAAGGGGAACTGGTCATTCGTTTTCTGATCGGTGTCCACAATCTGGCCCATGTTGAACGTGTCTTGGCGGGATTTCGGTCCGTCGGGGGTGTCTTGCACGCAGCTCGGAGTGATTTGCTCGGTGCAGCGCTTGACCCGCGCCCCAGGGGTGTGAGAGAGCACGATGTCCACCAATGTGGTATGGCGTTGGAGGAACATGAGCGTGGAGAAGCCAATGGGGAGGAGGGGCCCGGCAATAGATACGATTACGCCGTGTAAAGCCAAGAAAGGTGATGTGTACATAATTCGATCCGGCCCGGTCTTACCAGCCCGTGAAAGCACCACATCTGGGCCAAGGAAATAAACAGACGAATGGAGCAATGTTGATTTACTTTGTATTATATGCCAACGTGGTATACAGAACAGAACCTGGGACAAAGGGAGTGTCTGGCCGCATCAGTTCGGCGTACAAACATTCTACCCTTGATGTAAATATTGCGACGGGCCAGAAAACAGATATGCACATGATCCATTTCTTACATTTCGAACTGCCAGTCATTTTACCTTTCAGATAATGTATTGGCTTGCTTCATTGAGAAAGGCGCCAGCCCTCTAGCTTCTCGGATTAACCTCCTCTCCCCTTAACGCGTACTACGTACCACCCAAAACAAGCAAACAGGGCACGCTGGCCGGTCCTAGGATATCCCGTATTGGGATCCCTGTCCCTGTCATCCTCTTTTACCTCCTTTGCCTTGGATACAGGGTGTCTGCCTTTCATTCTCGGATCTGTCACGAGCTTTGTTCGAAGCATATCTCCCGTCGTGTCCCCTTCCGTGTCATTAGACGAGCTATTGGAAATATCACCATGTCTACCGTAGGCGAGGATGTACTCCCCGCAACAAGCTCTGCAAGTGTGAAGGAAAGCTTATATGGCGTTTGGGAGTCAGCAATGGTGGCAGAAGTAGAGGTAGAAGGGCTCGATACGTATGATGAGGACACAGACGAGGAGGAAGAGGCAGATGTTTCATCGGGAAATCCAAAGCGCTCAGCAGCAGAACGGAAGCGATGGCGTAATCTGCAGAAAAAACCTGGATGGTACCGTCGTGTTTCGCGGTGGATGAGCAAGGGCAATAAAAAACGCCTTCGCGCGTTGTGGCCTGTGTACGGTATCAACCCCCCCCCTGGCAAGTGCCTATGGACATTCCTACGCTTTTTGGCTCGACAGGGGAAGTGACGAAAGTAGTGGTAGATGTAGGATTTGGAGATGGACTGGCACTCGTAAATAAAGCCCTTGAGCTGCAAGAAAGCGCCCCAGAGGTGGCTTTCCTAGGCTGCGAGTGGCACCAGGGAAGTGTGGGGGCAGCCTTGACGCGCCTGAACGACACTGGTGTGACGAACGTGCGCGTGCTGCGTGGAGATTTTCTTCACCACCTGAGGGCAGGTTGGTTTGGGCCGGATGCTGTGGATGAGGTCTGTGTTTTTTTCCCAGACCCCTGGCCACGGGCAGAGGATCACGACCGACGCGTGATAAATTCTGCTTCTGTGACAATGATGGCACGCTGCCTCAAACCAGGGGGCTTCTTGCACGTGGCCACAGACGTTCGCGAGTACGCGGTCTGGGTGGGAGCAGTCTTGGAGAAGGAAGCTGGGGAGTGGGAGGCCTGCGCAGTCCCACGGGAGAGCGCCCTCTACCGGAGCTCGGACCAGACGGACGTGGAGGACGGTCCTCACTACCACAAGGACACTGGTGACCTCAGCGACATCTATGGCTTACTACCGGCACGCCCGCGGTGGCGGCCCTTGACGCGATATGAAAATCGAGGCATCAGGGAGCTTAATCACAAGATTTATGATTTGTGCTTTCGGCGTAAGACTCCTCGGGCAGTAACGTAAGCTTGGAACGCGTTCAAAGTACAGAAAATAATTGACATCTATTGTTCACCCTGATGCAATGTTCGACATTGACTTATCAATTTTAATGTCGTGTAATGTAACAATATTTTGGCAGTAAATACGTAATGACGAGCCTCTAATGCTCCCTCATACACAAGTTTGTCCATGTGTGTCAGCTTTTCCTCCGCTCACTGACTACATTCCTTGAATAAAACGCACTCACGCTGGGTAAGCATAAAGATCTCAGACTTGACATTTTTTAACAATGAGCGAATCTACGATACGATGCGCACAGGCGAGCGCCCTGACCACCTGTGCCTATATCAATCTTGACATGCATCTCTGCGCTTCGCTCCAGTAGGCTGATAGCCTTCCCGCTTTCGGGATTCTTTCTATTTCTCTCTTTCATACAAGTGCCCTACCGCGAACTTTTGTCCGTTCTTTCCCCTCGTCGGAGCAGAAAGTTCGCTGCCGTCCTGTGCCCGTTCACCCCTGGCTCTGCGGCCCCGCTTTTCTCGAGGGCCGGGTGCTCATTCGCCCGGGCTCTCGCGTCTTTCTGCATAAAGTAGTCTCCCGAATCGAAGCGAGAGAACTGTGGAAGCGCCTGACGCGGCCTCTTCTCCTCCTCTTCCTCCTCGATTGCCCCCGTGCTCAGTCCTTGGCTGTGGCCCGTCTCCCATCCCTCGGGGGCCTCCTCCTGGGAGCAGGCAGGGCCGGAGGACGGAGCATTGGCGACCTGGATCTCAATGAAGCCTTCGCTTGACCGGCGCCGACCATGGAGCCTTGGGGGCGCCTGCAAGACGGACGGTGCGGGGGGAGGAACCGCATCTTCGAAGGGAAGCTCGCTTTTCAGATGGCTTGAGATAGTTAATGCCGAGGACTGGCGCGAGTGGCTTCCCGCGCCAGACCTCGCTCCTTTCTCTCCGCCGCGAGCCACCTCTAATGCAGCATCTGCCGAGTCGTAACGCTTCAATTCTGGTCGGTCGGAGATGTAATGCCGGGCAAGAAATTGCTCCACAAACGCGCTGACGCCCTCGGCTCCTTCGTCCGCCTGTCTTACTTCTCCCAGATGGGCCTCTCTCCCCTGCACCAACTGGCCCTCGTCTTCTTCTCCTTTTTCCTCCGCCAGCGTGGACGTGGCAGCTTGTAGGCCATACAAGCTGGACAGGGCGGCGCGCTGGGAGGGAGAGGGACTTTCCGAGGTACCTGCTCCTTCTTCTCCGAGGGTACCTCGCGTCACGTGCTGCTCCAGGATTGACGATTTCTCGGTGTCATCAGGGAACGTGGGCATCTCCAATAGGGATGGAGACACTCGAAAGTCTTCAGGCTGGACGGTGGAACGGCTGTTTGCGGGGCCGGGGCCCCGACGGGGGTGTTCAGGCGCAAAGGAAGAGCAAGAGGGAGAGGAAGTGGCATTGGGGCAGCAAGTGAAGGACAATGGACCGGAGGGCGTCTTTGGATGTCCGTCTCCTAGCTCTCTCGTTGCCATTCCGCTTGGTGTCGAGACCTTTCGCGACGACTCGTCCTCCATCTCCAGCGCCGCGGCGGCGCCCTCCAGAGTGCCCTCCTCCTCGTCAAGAGCCGAGCTAGCCTCATCCGTGAGGTTGCTGCGTCGTCGCTGATGCCTGGGCAGAGGATGACCTCCTGGCCCTGTGCCCTCTCGAACACGCATTGCCTGAAAGAGGAAAGGTTGGAGCATTAGGGCAAGAGGGTCACATATCAAAAAGACGTAAATCAGCTCACAAGTCGATTGGAGCTTACACTGCAGCCAAATTAAGCGACACTATAACAACAATTGCATTGTGTCGTCTCCTCCTGAAACACATAGCAATTTTGGGGAGGAAGTGTCCACATATCCCGGTATCGCCCCACCGCCTTCATAAAGCATCTCACCTCAGGACTCACTGGGTCTTCCGCAGCAGTTGCAATATTATGGTTATATTTCTTTGCCACCACTCGATGACCCAAAGCCATCCGCAGGCTTCCAGAAGAGGCCATGCGTAAGTACTAAACGCGTAGATCTTGCCCTTGGACCTGAGCATGTACCGTCAAGAGGGGTGCATAGTTAGTCTTCGCTGCTCTAGAACATATATTTCCGTGATGGCGTCTGAGAGGTGCATGCCTTGCAAGTATCGCTTGACCATGTTGTGGAAAAGAAGGATATTGGGTCTCATCCCGAGCACCATGCTTGTTCGCGGGGTGTGTGACGACATATTGCATGCCCGCTTTGTTTGGGTTGAATGTCAAGCAAAGTGGCCCATGTCGCATCCTTCTTTGGACAACCTGCAGCTTTGACAACACAAAACAGCATATTCCAATGATTATTCCGACAGATCATGCATGCGACATGATCAAGATATGAGTGGATGATAAGTCCAACCGAATGATAAAGCTTCGAGGTTCTGGAAGAGAGAGATTTCGACAAACGTCTGCAAGCGTGACGCCGGAGTACCCGAGCGACCCGATCTCGCCACCCGGGATAGCAACAAAGGAAAACAGATCACTACAACCTTAAGCGATGCATGAAAGGGCCCTTAACATCTTGTAAGGGACCCCACATGGCACGTATCCCCCCGCGGCAAGCTGCCCGACAGCATTTCTCACAAATTTGGCGGCAGGAAAGTGCGTGGAGATGCTCCCAACGGACGTCGCCAGTGGCGCCATGGACGGCGAGATTGCCGCAGGCGGCGTGAAAGGGCCTCTGACAGGAAGGATAGGTGCGATTTGCACGCAGACTTGGCTGGGATAGTCCATTCATTGGGTTCCTGGCACTCTTTGGTGCTACTCACTGCTTGCTGGTCTCTCGAAGTTTTAAAGCTGCCACATGCGCCCACCGTACATCCTTCCTTGTGTGTTGATACAACTACCTCCTCCTTCGCAAAGTGCAGCATGCACAATTCAAGAACTCTACCATGGCAGATACATCACCATCGATATGAGCTTCCTGATGATGAAACGCGCTTTACTTTGGAGCTCGAGTTTGTGCAGTGCCTGGCGAACGCAGATTACTTGCACTGGCTGGCGCTCAACAGGTACCTGGAGGACCCTGCCTTTTTGGCTTTTTTGCGGTATCTACACTACTGGCGACAGCCAAAATATGCGAGATTTCTAGTCTATCCCCAAGCATTAGCCATGCTGGAATTATTGGGTCGAGCAGAGGTGCGGCGCGAGCTGGGTCGTGGGCAGTACAAAGAGTTCTTGCGGGAGCAACAACTGCTACATTGGCGATTTTACTTTAATAATCGGCAACGACGGCTCGTGGTCAACCCCCCCAACGCATCGAAAGAAACACTGAAAGCCGGTGGTACATGGACGACGGTGCTGAATGAGCGACCAGTCCAGGCTGAGCCTGAAGCAGAGCAGTTAAAATTAGGGTCTGGGAATGGGGAAGGAAGAGATGTAACGGAGGTGAAGTTGGTCGAGGGAGGTATGCAGAATACAACAACATGAAGCTGACACCTCAGACATGATGTCCTCTACTTTGCGCGGTACTTTTGTGCGTATTTTGATTACAATGCCCTTTCACTTTACCCGCCACTTCCTTCCCCTTCCACACGCCCTCCCGGCCCCTCTGCCAACCCTATCGCTGACAAGACTTCCCGCACGTCTAGAAGCATTTCCTTCACCCGTGCTTCCAGTTCCGCTAAGCCTGTACCATCCGCCACAGACACCTTTAAGGCCCCTGCAGGGGCACGGTCTACGGCCGGGTCCTCTTGGTCCATGGGCAAGTCGGCTTTGCTGATCACGTCCACCCAGGGTCGCTTAGGGAAACGCGCGCGCAGGCCGTTTCGAATCTGAATCTGATTCTCGATGCTCGAGAGTGCCCCAGAATTGCCCGTCAGATCCAGGACGAACATAACGGCGGTGGGCAGGTGGAGCATGGAGGCGAGCGTCAGGGACTCCATCTCGTTGCGCTCCTCATCCGGCCGATTCAGGACCCCTGGCGTGTCCATCACCTGGCACTGCCCCTCCACCCAGTCCTCGTACTGGAGGTGTCCGAGCGTCATCCCGCGCGTGGTGAAAGGGTAGTTGTTCACTTCCGGGGTCCCCGTGGAAATGGCCCGGACGATGGAGCTCTTCCCCACGTTCGGCGCCCCGACCAGCACGACCGTGGGCATGCCCAACTGCACGATGGGAATTTTACGCAACGCCTTCTGGACGTCGATCAAATCCAAGACCACATCAGCGCCCTCCAGCATCAAAGACTCCACCTCCCGAAAGCCCGCCTCTGTGGCCTCGATGGCCTCTTGCTTGGACGTGGCGTTCTTGGCTGCCGCCGCGTGCCTTTTCCCCGTTTCGAGGACCGACTTGCGCAATTCGTTGACGGCCTTCAGGACCTCGGGCAGGCTCTGGTGCCCCTGCTTGGCCCGGGCTCGGACAGTCAAGTCCGCCAGGGTCGCCTCGAAGGGGTGGAGGACGGCCAGCTCGTAGTCGTAGGCTTTAAGCACGTCCCTCAGGGGTTTGGAGATGCTCTTGGTCAGCGTGTCGAGTTTCAAGGCGCCCAACTTGCGCGCGCGCTGGCGTTGGTTTTTGATTTTTTCTTCGTCCACCTATGGGTGGCAGAGGCAGTAAATTCAAAAGCATATGAAGACAAATGCCACGCACAGAGCCAATTATTTCATTGAGCACGCACGTACACGGCGTGCAACAATTCATCATCATGCTTCCGCCCACGCTCGACCGATCCCCTGGAGCCGACATTACCTCCCGTCATCCGCGGACACCTACCTTTAACCACTTGGATAGCCGCACAGCCCGATTCAGTAGCTCATTGGCAGGCGGGGTCACAGGTAAATTCTTTAAGCCTCCAGTGACCGTCCGCCGGGGCCGAGCGCGTTTAAGAGGGGATGCACTTGGGGAAGAGGGGTTTACTTCGGCCGTCTGATTTGGAGAGGCGCCCAGGGTCAGATTTGCTTCTAAGACTGTAGGCGTTGCTGGCCGCTGACTGTATCTGGCACGAATGGAAGGGAGTGCTGCCTTGCGGAGAGGATGCTGGGGCGGCGGTTTCTGGTGCTGGGAAGTATACCGGGATATTATGAAGAGAGGTAGTGGCAGGCGGGGGGGGGCAGAAAGGCTGGAGGCCCTTGAGACCCATACGGACGCGTATCTTTTCGTAATGATAACCTTGGCAGGTGTGCAGCTACCCAGAGTCAAGAGGGACACCATAACGGCCAATGCCAAAGCGGTGCCAGGAATTGGTCGATATGCAAGGTGGCGGGGACAGGGCATCAACCGGCAAAGCAGAGACCGTGAATTGTATCTGCCGTGCTCCATCAGGCACCGCCCAACATATGCCAGTCGACAGCTTCCTGGCTGTAGAAAGGTATAAAATTTCAAAAGTGAAGCGTTTGTGAGCGAAGGGACAGGGAAGTTGTAGATTTGTGGGCCACAGATAAAGGGTTGTTTCCCAGCCGCCGCTTCAGCAAGTCATGTATCTGCCTCCCTCCCGGGCGCATTTCGACCTAGATGTTATGCTCCCTCACCTGTCCACACCCTTCCAATATATATTTAAATTACAACAGGGACTGTGTGCTGCAGTACTCGACAACGAGGACCGTCTACCCTACTGGAACGGGGGCCGTTTTGCATTTTTTCCTGTCAGCTCTCCTCCTTCTCCATGTGACACTGGTAACAACCTCCTGTGGGAAAATGAATAACAGGAAAATGCCCCCCATTGCCACGAGGGCGGCGAAGGCAATCGGTGCATCGACATTTATTTCCGCCACAAGTGCTCGAAGACGACGTCTTGTCTCCGTTTCGGCTAAGATAGATGATGAAAATGGCAGCGCGTTGATGGAAACCTCCACGGAAGCTTCCTCATCAAGGCCCTCAAATCCCTTGGAATCCAGCATCCATGTGACAACAAGCAGAACCCCAACGCGCCGGCTTTCGGAAAATTTTTCATCGAGTATTAACTCATCAGTCGAGACAGTGAGGGCAATGCTGCGAAACGTGAGCCAGCGCGTGGAAAGCGCGGTCGCTTTTGAGGCTCACCACCTTCCTGTAGTGAAGTGCACCGACACAGCGCACCATCGGGTCTCAACGCCAAAGAGCTTCGAAGCCGACGCTTTGATTACGGCACGCTGGCTTTTGGGTGCGCGTTTGGTGCGTGTGCTTCCCTGTGGCACTCGTCTGAGCGGCAAGATAGTCGAAGTGGAGGCCTACCTCGGACCTCATGACAAGGGCGCACACAGCTATGGAGGCAAGAGGACACCGCGCCTGGAGCCCATGTTTGCAGCGGGCGGTGTAGCCTATATCTACCACATGCATGCTTGTTCCTGTCTCAACGTCATAGCCTCCAAAGAGGGCGACCCCGTGGGAGTCTTGATCCGGGCCCTGGAGCCCGTGGAGGGGACCTCGATCATGCTGCAGAATAGGCTCAGGGCGCGGGCACTTCGAGGAAAGAACAAAACAAACAGGGGGCCCATACCGCATGTAGCGGATATGAATGCCAGCGAGAGGGAGAAGCTTCTGGCGGAGCTCTGTGCGGGCCCTGGTCGCCTCTGTCATGCCCTGGCAGTCGATCACCTAATGAGCGGCTCCGACCTGGTGGGAGGAGCGCAGCTTTTCTTGGAGAGGGGGGAACACGTGCCTGCGTCCCAGTTGGTGGTCTCCCCGCGGATAGGGATAGAGTATGCAGGCTTGTGGAAGGAAGCGCCGCTCCGTTTTTCGGTGTTGGGCAACAGACATGTGAGCAAGCCCTGGCCCCGGGCGCAGGACAAGAAAATGCGGAAGCGGAAAAAGATTTCCTGAAGCAGACCGATGGAAGATTGGATGGGTCTGCGCGATGCTGTGAAGGGTAGAGACCCTGTAGGAGAGCGCGCATAGAGGAACTTTGTATGGAGACGCCTCTACGTAAGGGAGGGAAAACGGAAAGAAATTGGGCCGGGCGACTGTCTCCTTCTCCATAGTGACCTTGGCCCTATGAGGCTCACAGCCAAGATGTACCCGTGGGCTGTCCGTGTTTAGGGAATCAAAGGTTACGCAGACGCACGATGACAAAAAGAAAACATCGAGACGGAAAGCATATTTTTCTGCGTGAGTGTCGAGTCTTGCTTCGTTCCTCTCATTTATGTTCTCATCTCCTCGGAATACTCTCTCCTCCTTCACCATCCAAAGCACTGCTTCCTCGGCCATTCTCTGCATTCTGCGCTTCACCCTACACTCCACATTTTCAAGCTCCCGTCTCCGTCCACCATCGAGCAGCTAATCTTCTTTGCAGCTCTCTGCGGTCACACATCTTCTCCTCCATCCCCCCTGCTTTCGACCAGCTCTCTGCAGCTTTCCTTTCCTGTCCTCCCCTCTCCTGGCCCACTGGTGACTCCTTCAGCCCCGCGAGACGTCTCTCGGCAACTGGCTCCTTGCTAGCATACACCAAGCTTCGTTTTTTCGTCTGTTGTTCTCCCTGTCTTTCATATCATGCACATGCGGCGAGAGCCAGCCATCATATTTGCTGACTCTAAACCCCCCTTTATCATCATACCACGGCATTTGTTTCTTTCCGGTTGTAAATCCCTCGCATCCTACTCGTCTCCTCTGTCCCCACTCGCGCCACGCCATAGATTCCAAACCGTTTGCTTCATACGACAGCATTTCTCTTTGTCTACACAACAAAGGGTCCTCACACTGCTAAAACATTAAATATCATAATTGTTTGTAACCATGCGGCCGTGCCTAAGAAGCATGCCGTGTTACAGGACTTCCACGCGCGTCCCCAATCTTCTTGTTCGCTCCCTTGCCATCCGCGCATTCTGCGCCCAACGCTACTGTGATAAATATGAAGCACGGCTCCCGCGATCTTTAAGTGTGCGAGGTCCGAGGTCGCACCCGACCTGTCACCGATATTGTCACTCCCTTCCTCGGGCGTCGACCCCCCCCCGACCGGCCCTTTCCTCGCTTTACGCCTACCCACAGTTGTTTAAAGCCCTCCTAATATGTATAAAGGTAGGAGGTCTCCTTCTCGTTTGCTCCTCAAACGGGCGCAACACCCACGGTCCCGACTGTCGCTGAACCGGCCGTTGAAGTAACGGTCACGCCGTCCAAAATGTTCACGAGGAAATGGTCCAAATCCTCTTCCGTGGTCGTGAAATACCCGTAGTCCTCTTCCTCTTCCTCCCCACCCGCCGCCTCCCCTCGCTTCTTCTCCCCTTCCTCCCCCTTCCACGCCTGCTCCTTCACCAAGGAGGGCGCCATCGAGGTCCCCCTCGTGTGGAGGGAGGAGGTAAAACCCTCCCCCCCTTCCTGCCCGTAGCCGTAGCTCAGGCGCGCTCGCTTTCCCACCGGCCCATTCTCAACCCCGCAGTCCTCCAGACCACGCACCAGGTGAGAGCCCAGGTGAGGCCTGGCCCCCGCCTGCTCCCCGTCGCTCTCGTCCGAGGGCAGATAGGTGTCCGTGTTGGAGGAGTCGGTCAGGCTGTTGCTCGACGCCTCCCGCCCCATGGGCTCCAGCCGCTCGCTCTGCTGCAGAGCATGCAGGCCCAGCGCCCCTTCTTCGCCTACGCCCTCCGCCCCTTCCAAGGCCCCCAAAGCCTCCTCGAACGCGTCCGCCCAGTCTGGCGCCCCGCGCCCCGCCAGCTCGTGCAGATGGGAGAACGCGTCCTCCCCCTCGCCCAAGGCCTCCTCCTCCTCCTCCTCCTCCCCCTCGGTCGTTCCCGCCACGCCGGAGGACGCCGAGGTCGTGGAGGACCCGCAGCATCCTGTAGACTGCAGGCTACCAGGGACGCCGAGCATGTAGTCCGGACGGTCAGATCCAGGCAGGGCTTCGTTGGCCCCTCCCACCCGCTCCCGCTTCCCCTCCCCCTTTCCGTCCTCCTCGGGCCCATGGACATGCGCCCCCATTGCGTCGGGAAAATCGTCCATGTCCGGGTAGAGATGCATGACGGACGTCGGCGTCTGCGTCGGAGCCCCCACCAGGGCCCCCTCTCGCAGGGACTCGAACAATCCATTCAGTTCCCCCGCCGCGAACAGGTTGTCCTCCATGTCCAGCGCGTGCTCCTCGCCCATGGGAATCCGGACCATCAGCCCTCCCGCAGGTCCCACACCTGCCCCAGGTCTGCAGCCGCTGTCCTCCGCGTTCATGAGCCCGCGGGGGGGAAGAGACTGGAGGGAGGAGGGGGTCGGGTCGGTGGAGCTCGTGTGCAAAGCCCCCCAAATGGAATGAGTCAGCGAGGAGGCCGAAGAGAAGACGGAGCCACTGCCCCTCAGCCCATTCTGCTCCAAGGGAGCAGTTCGACGAGCCCGCTGCTTCTGCTGCTTTCTCAAGGCGGTGCCCACTGCCCGCGCACTGGCACCGTTCTGAGGGATACCTTCCAAGGTGGTGTGGCTTGTGTCGATGCCACTTCCAAAACCCTCACCCCTCATCCCTATGCCCGCGGGGCTGGAAGGATGAGAAGGGAAGGTAGATTTATTGCGAGGAGGGCGCGACACGCGGCCCCGGGAGGTCAGGGTTGAACTGCGAAAGGGGCAGCCCTCGTCCTCCTCCTTGATGCCGTCCCCTTCTTTTTCCAACTTATCTGCCTCGAAACAGCCAATTTCCTCCTCCATCTCATCCCCGTCCAAGCCTGGTACCAGTCGCCGGTATGTGCTCTTCCCCACCGAGCGCTTTTTGCGGGTCAAGGAGAGTGGAAGGTCCATACTTGAGCCTTGCCCTGATAGTTCCATGTCGGGGCCCACGTTGCCATTTCCATTCGAAGGATAACCAGTCAAGGATGTGACCGCGGCATTAGAATGCAAGCCATGATTGTGTGCATGCACGTGCGGGTAAAACTGGTTGTGATTGGTCGGAGGTTTCAGCGCGATGGATGTGCTGGTGGCAGGCTCAATTTTGGCCAGCTTCAGGAAATATTTCTGGGCGTGCGTCCGAATCTGGACAACCGTGCGCGAAGGAATCTCTTCGGCTATGCGTTTCCATTGCTTGCCATATTTTCGTAATCCATCCTCGAAGAGCGCGTGCTCCTCTGTCGTCCATCGCCCCGTCGTGCTGCCCTCCTCCTCATCCATATACCCTTTCTTAGGTCGCGCCATTTTTGTTGCTTGTAGACTCCGTGTCACGAATCGACTGAAAATACTTCCAGTTTAAATGTACCTTTTACTGGTCTGATGTTCACGTAGATGTGCCCTTCAAACAAACGTTATGGCCTTTTCGGGGGGGGCTGTTGCAGCCTGATGCTGTGGAATTGCAAGGGCAGGGAGAGCAGGGTCAGTTTCGAACCAAATTTGGGCAATTCAAAACATTGCTAGGCTGACATCAATGCTGTGTGTAGTAAACGTTGACAGTACGTGGTAACAGTGGCAGTAAATCGTGAATGAGGCAATCCCAGCGGCTTCAGAAGGCCGCCTGCACCAGACAGTGGCCCACATTGCATGGTGGGCCATTCCTTCTGCCTGGGTCCCCTGCCCCACCAAATGCGCGCACAACACGAACACGCAGTGGGCATTAGCGACATCCAGGCTTCCCTCGCGTTGATATATGATCAAAGCGAGGGCCTGGTATGGTCGTCGTGTCAATGTAAGGCTCGCACGCGTGCTTGCACTTCACAAGAGCTGTCAATTTTGCTGTTGTCCCTCCCGATGGGTGCTGCAGCTGCTCACGCACTCGTTCGGCTCGAGGATACTTTTGACATCCCGTTCTGACGCACCACGGCCAAGGCATCGAGGCAACACATTTAGTGCGCACGAAGCATTGAGACATTCCCGCTTCGGGAAAAAATGCCGTCGTTGTCAACCCACTTCTTGAACAGCGCAGGAAGCTGTTCTTGTGGGGCGAGTAGACGCCAGTCGCAGGCCTCGCCCAGAGCCAGACCCGACCGCCCTCCCCCCCGGCAGAAGCCCGTGCACCCGAGCCATCCCAGGGCAATATCTTTGGTCTCGAAATGCCTCCTCCGTGTCCCATTTCCCTTTTATCTGTGAATATCATGCCAAAGTCTCCACGAGAGTGCGCTTCTGAATTGAATGTTGGGAATGGGCCCGGTGTTGCGTTCATAAAGGATGACAGAAAAGACGCATGTTGGGAACTACTGCCGCTGAAGGACACGGACTCTCAACGAGTAGTAGGACTCCGTGCCGTTATCGTCGACTCCCCTTTCCTTTCACCTTTTTCCGGGGAAGGTTATGAATCATCGGAAGCATCGCAGATCGAACTCTGGCATTCGAGCATGAACGTGGCCTGACATGACTAAATCTACTTTCTGTGGAGGCATGCCCCACTCAAAAAAAAGAAAAAAACTGAAGCGAACTACTGGGAAGTGTACGCAACATAAATAGATAGATAGCGTCGCAGCATTCTACTCTTTCTTTCGCACCTTGAGACATGAGAATCCCATGGAAGAAATAGGCCCAGGAAAAGTCATTCCTAGGTCATCAGAACGCCTCTCTTCGCTTTTTTCACTTTAAACGGTGCCTCCTTCCTCCCTGTGGCTATCCGAAATTTGTGGGCAGTCAGCCAGGCACACCTACTCTCTCTCTTTCTCTTATGGGGCATATAATAACTAATGAAAGCCTTAATCGAGAGAGAGTGCCCCTGGCCTGTTGGCGCAGTGGGGCGCCTCACTCTTAGTTCACGCTCCAGCAACGAATTTTTCCGTCGGTGTAGCCTGAAAACAAAGTCTGACCATCCGCAGACCAGGCTAAGGAGGTGCAGTACGGCTGAGGAGAGAGGGAGTGCTTGCCCTGGACGGGCCACTTGGGTTGCAGGTGGTCCACCATGTCCTTTGACTCCAGGTCCCAGATCTTGATGCCCTGCGACGTAGCTGCGCACAACCAGTAGCGATTGGGCGAGAAGACAAGCGAATGAATAATGTCGCCCGCGTCCAGGGAGTAGAGACGTTTGCCCTCATTCAGATCCCAGAGCATGGCGGTGCCGTCCTTCCCACCGGAGGCACAAAGAGAGCCGTCCGGTGAGACCGTCACCACATTAAGGTAGCCAGTGTGGCCGATCAAATTCTGCTTGAGCTTGCAATCCGCCAAATTCCAGACTTTAACACGCTTGTCCCAGCCGCAGGACACAATTACGGGGGCCGTGGGGGAGGGGGAGAACCGCACGCACGACACCCACTCGGAGTGGCCACCTTCAGTAATGGTGAACTTGCACTCACCCAGTGTATTCCAAAGCTTGATAGTCTTGTCCCGGGATCCGGACACAATCTGTCGGTTGTCATGGGAGAAGGATACAGAGAGGACATCCTTGGAATGTCCGACGAAAGTACGCGTGCTCTTGCCTGTCTTGATTTCCCACAAGCGCAGGGTTCCATCCCAGGACCCCGAGAGAGCAAACTGCCCGTCAGAGGAGATTATCACGTCTGAGACAAAATGCCCATGACCTCGCAAAGCTCGCTGCGGGTACCCGTAGTCTTCTCCACCGGTCAAGTTCCACACCATCACGGTCTTATCGCGCGAGGAGGAAAGAACGAGGTTGGGGTTGTCGGCATGAGTGGCAATCGATGTCACCCAACCCGCATGGCCCTTCAATTCCGCCCGCAAACTGAGTTGGTCACCCATGGTTGTGCAAAGGATGCTGTAACGTAGGAAGGAGAAAGATCGTGCTTCTGCGGTCAGGCATAATTCTGATGTGTGGTGATCAAGAGTTTCTTCATGTCTTCCTTCTTGCAGCCTAACCACCAATCAACAACACTGGGAAACCAAACATCCTCACGCCAATATTAAATACGAAGCAATTGGTTATCTATCATTACAAATCAGAAATCCGACACAACGGTCGTGAAAAACTTCGCACAGAAGGTACTCGTCATTTCTAACACTCGGTGCGGAAGACCTCGCTGAGAGCCATCGGATGGTCAAGCGCTGCCTGGCCGCAGGCCTTCTCGTGAGGGTGAGAAACATCAAGGAGAAAATCTGAGCTATTCGGAGAGGGCGGAGAAACATCAAGGAGGGAAATTGGTCTAGCAACGGTAACCCGACCGAGGGCGCGTTCATCTGATTTATCGTTCCTGCACGTCTTCTGTCTTTGTACCACATAGTTTAACCCTTCAACCATCAACAGGTTCATTTTCACTTCGCTGTTGTACATGCTACGTCAAAATGCGCACGAGTGGGGCCCCAGCTGGTTCCTTGCCTTCACATCAACCTCATACACACCCCTCCTCTGGTGCACCGTGTCAGTGGGCACAATTTAAGTCTGCACTACATTCTGACCGGCCTTTTGAGTATGGCTACTGGCTATCGGTTGGTGTATCTACACTTTTCGACTGGGCAGTGCGAGCTTTGGGCCCGTGCTTGGTCACTCTTGCCTGCCTTTTGATCGGCCTTGTCACATGTCTCTACTTTGGCTACATCCTTCCAGAGCTCGTGGGCTGCAGAGGAAAAAGCGGCTCTGGCGTTGAGGATCCAGATGTCCGGTACTTATGCCTCGCACGTGTAATACACGGAAGCTGGGCAGCGTTTCTGCTGTTTAACACGCTATTCAACTATTTCCATTGCGTCATGACCTCCCCTGGTTCGCCCTTCGTCAATGCGTGTGATGCCTCAATGCACTCCCATGGCGAAATCCAGGCTCCGTCTGTGCATGCCAATGCAGGCACTCCCACAGATTCACATTCACCACTTCACGTCTCCTCTGCCCGTAGCGACCATGTGGATGCACGCACGTATGGATTCTGTAAAAAATGCCGTACACCCCGCCCTCCCCGCACCCACCACTGCCACGTCTGCAAGTCTTGTGTCCTCAAAATGGATCACCATTGCCCATGGATCGGACAATGTGTCGGGTACTACAACTACCGTTATTTCGTACTATTCATGATGTACCTGTGGGCAGCGTGCGTGTATGGCGCCCTCCTGCTCGGTCGGCCATTTTTAGACATGATGTACGGCAGCAGTCAAGGTGGCGGGCCCCGAATGCCTGTCATCGTGGGGTCCCTCGCCTCTGCGCGCTCCGCTATTATCCTTACATTTGTTTTGGCCTTCTCCGTTGGGCTGGCGCTGACAGGCTTGTTGGGTTGGCACGTTTTTCTCATCACGACCGGGCAGACGACCATTGAATTTTACATTAATAAGGCACGGAGGGAGCGAGCCCGACAACGAGGGTTTTTGTACACCAACCCTCACGACTTGGGGTCACGACAGAATTGGCAGCAGGTATTTGGGCGTGATTTGCCTTGGTGGAGATCTCTCCTCCCCTCGACGCGGTTGCCGCCGGCGCCCGGGGTCGGGCCGGGAGGGCCGGACCCCGGACAGGAAAAGGCGGGCGCCGAGCCGAGAGAGGAGGCATGGTGGGCGGAAGAGCACCGGCTGTCAGCGATGGAGGAGGGGGAAGAGGAAGAGGAGGAGGAAATGATAACGTGTGACGGCGGAGAGTGTGCAGTTCTTGGAGAAGGGAAGAGGGGGAACAGAAGGAGAGGAGGGGGGGCGGCCGTTCCTGCGAAAAAATGGAAGCGGAATGGGAGTCGCATGATTTTTTCGGGTGTAGAACGTCACACCCCTCCGGTGATTGTCTAGCACCCCTGAAAGTGTACGTTTAAAAGACTTGAGATGCGAGATAGAAGGCAGGCAGCGTGCGGCACACGGACGGCCCACATGACTGACCTTCGGCATCGCTTTCAGCAGACATGTGAAAGTTCCAAGCCAGCTATAGATCCTTTTTGCACGATTTTTTTTTTCTTTTCTGCGGTTCATTTCTTTTTCAATGGGCCTCTCGACAGGTTCGCGCCTCGCCAGAGACACCCGGGTGTCTTTCTCACAAGTCGCCACTGCATTGTGACAGCCGCAGTCAAGTACCAGCTCCCTATTGTGCACAACGCCCCCGCAGTCCTTCGTTATCCCCGAAAACTCGGCTCCGGATATTATTATACTCAGCCATCCCTTTCGATCGCACAAGCTCCCGCAACAAATGCACGGTTTGCGTCTAAGTTATTCTCTGCCGATACGAAGGGGCGTGGCTTTCTACTCTTTTCCCTCCGTTCTTTCACAAATTATCGCTAATATTTCTGTATGAGACATCAGTCCATGCAATCAGCTTGTAAGCAATGAACTCAGCATTGTTCTGTGTGACCGCCTCGAGGCCACACTTCTCACTCCCCTTTCCTGCTCCCGGCCCGTCAAGGGCTAGGGAGTGGCTTGTCGGCGTCCGATCAGTTTCACATACAAGAAGCACGCACATTGTCGTCAAAGACACGTACACCACAACATTTTCTCTCTTGCTTTCTCCCTCTTTCTTTCACTCTTCCCCTCTTTCTCTTTCCCTTACACACGTATACACACACACGCTCCCTCTCCCTCTCTTCCACACACAGACACCTCTTTCTCTCTCTTCTACTCCCGCGCACTCCCTGTTCGGATCGCACGTGCTTACACTTGGTCACACCGGTGAAAACCCAGTAAATCCATTTCTCAACCCTGACAGAGGGCGCCTGGCGCCTAGGGCATCTTGTCGCTTTCCTGCCTTCCCCCTCTCCACTTTAAAGCCTGTTCCTCCGCCCTCCACCTTCCTGTGACATGCTTGTCTACCCCCGGCATAGTTCTTACGCGAATGCAAAGAACTCAACCTAAGAACAGGTGAACAAAGAGTGGCGCCCCTCGTCTCCTCTTTCTCCGCCTCGTCTTGCGTCTTGCGGCTTCCCACCTGATCGTGGAACAGCCCCTCACTGCTCCTCGGCACTGTGCGTGTTACCCGATCCATCAAATTCGAAACGACTCGTAGCTCCTTGCTTTCTTCAAGGGGGGAGCTGAGGTTGTCCCCAAAGCTTCGGTGCTCATCTCCACACTGGCCCCGTTCGCAACGACAGCTGTGACAGGCTCGCCTCCATGCCTAGCCGGCGAGTCGCTCCGAGGAATGCCCCCGTGGTGTCCGGTCTGAGCACGTGGGCGGGAATTGGGCACGTTTTTACGCTCCACTGCCCCGTCCTCCTCGTCCTCGTTCCCGGAACAAGTCTTGTACGCCGTGTCCTTCCCCGCATGCCAGCCACGGGCACCCCCTTCGCCGCCCTCGGCGCTCCCGCTGCTGCCGCTGCTGTCATTGCCGTCGCCGCAAGAGGAGGAGAGCGCACTTGAGGGACTGCTCCCGTCTCGACTCGTCCGGGGGGAGTCCTCGTCATCCCCGCTCCCGCACTTGGAGGAGGAAGACGTGCTCTGCGCCATTTCTTGGTGCTGCCGGCGAACGGTGATGAGAAAATCCAGGAGAAGCTCGCCCTCGTTGTGGTTCGCGGGAAGAGGAGACCCAGCCTGCCCTAAGGTCCGCCCCTCCCGTCCCTTCTCGCCCTGGTAGTGGGGGTGCGGCGCCTGCTGGTGCTGACGGTGGACCGCCCTGGCCCCTTGGAAGCGGTCGCGAGGCTCGGAGGAGGAGCGCGCGTGCCTGTACCTGCTCAGCAGCCGCGCGTGGTCGTCGTCACCCGCCTCCTCGGCTGCTGCGGCTGCTGCGGAGGCCGCGGCGGAGGACGCTTCCTGCATCAAGGCGACGTTATTGGTGCTGAGAGAGCGACGCGGAGGGACTGAGGCGGGGCCGCGCCCGTAGTCCTCGTGGGCAGTCTGGTGTCTGCCCTGGACGGAAGGGATAAAAATATCCTTACGATCGAAGCCAGGCTCGGACTTTTCCTCCCCCTCCGCCGTCCGCTTGCTGCTTCGAAAAGCGTTGCTGGCCTTGCCTTGACCGCGCTCCGTGGGAGTCGGGCATCTCTCCACGGCATAGGGGGGTAGCCCCGGCACTGGCACGCGCATGCCAGGGGCCCGATGCGCGGGGCCTCTGCGCGTACCCGTCTCGCCGTCATCACTGCCGCTTCCGCTCCCTTCGCTGCCCATGCTCCCGCCATGGCTGCTGTTGCTGCCAAGGCTGCTGCTCCTACCGCTCCCGCTGTGGATGCGCAGTGCCCCAAGGGAGGGCGGGGGTTGGGCGCCTGGCCCACAGGCTTGGAAAGGATCGGATCCTCTTCCGCTCCCCCCGAACATGGGCACCGCCGGCCCCAAAGCGGGTCCTCCGATGATGTCGTGCGGGGGGGGGGGGGGCGAGGGAGGGGGCGTGCATCGGTGCGCCCCACGAGTGGTGCGACATTTGCGGGGCTTGGGAGTGCGCTGAGCGCCAGTTCGCGTGCGGGTCGGAGGCGACGTTGTTGCCGCTCGGGGTGCCGTAGTGGTAGGAAGAGAGGTCTCCAGTCCTGGGCCCGCCGGAGGAGGAGGACGAAGGGTGGGAGGAAAGGGGAGGGGACAGGCCCTCGGGGTGGGAGGCGGGAGGATGATAGGAGTAGCCGGGCGGGGCGTACGGGGCCGGGAGAGGAGGGCCGTAGCCAGAAGGCTGCGACAGACCAGCGGCTGGCTCTTGGTGGAGGTGCTCGTGGTGCCCGCCCCAGTGGTGGTTGGGCGCGTGGCTCGCTTGCCCGGGAGGCCCAGGGTGACCCGGCGGGAAGCCTGGCATGACCAAGCTCGTGCCCCCGTGGTAGGAGGAGGAGAGCATCGAGGAGGTGGTCGTCCGGAGAAATTCCTTTCGCAACACCTCCAGCTCTGCCTGTGCCCGTCGGCGCCGCTCCAGCGTTTCGGGGTGGGAGTCGCAGGGTTGGAAAACGCGCTTCCCTATGCATGCCGCCCCTGCAAATTTCTTCGTGATCCGCATGGGGTCGCAGTTCAGGGTGTCCGAGAGGTATGCCCGCAGCGTGGTGCCGGCAGCCAGGGGGAGAAGGCCGTGGTTGAAGTCATAGATGATGCGTGACACGTAGGCCTCCTCCTGGAAGGTCCACTTGCCCCGGCGCAAGGGAGGGCGAGGCCCCCCAGACGTCCCTGTCGCCGAGGACGCAGCGGCCTTGCTGCTCGCCTGGGGCATGGACGCGTGCGAGCGAGACGTGCTTTGAGCCTTGCATTGGTGGAGGCGGCGGGTGTCCTCCTTGCTGCCCGGCCGGCGTAGCGGAGTCAGGCTCGGCGGCCTTGCCCGGGCGACCACCATACTGTCCTCATCCGTGGAGTCGCAGGAGCTTATGCTGCTGCTATCATCGTCTTTATCCGTGCGGCTGTCATCCTCTGTAGTTGTGTATTTTAAAGCCGTAGTGTCTCAATGAGAGTTCAGGTCTTCATGCATGACACGCTAAATTTTACAACAGATCCATATCGACACATTCCAAGACAACTCCCTCCCACCCTTGCCCCGCTTCCCCTCCTATCAAAGCACATGATGCCTTACTTGCAAATGACTTGGACTGCTGATTGCTGCTGTAATGGTGTGGCTGCTTTTTATGAGACATCTCATTCTCAAAACTCTCCATGCTCAGGTCCTCCTCCTCTTCCTCCCCGTCTTCCCTCTTCGCGGTGAAGTGATTTCTCTCTCCTTCCCCACGTGCACGACCACTTGGCCGCCTTCCCGTGTTCACGACAGAGGTGTTCATTAGTTAAGTTTGCTTCTTGCACTCCGGCGTTTTCCCCTCCGGGATCGCGCTCAAACTTCGACGCGTCGAAGAAGAGAAAGATCGCCTTGTTTGCTGCCTGCCAAGGTCCAGGTTTTGAAAAAAGGCCTGCGTGAGACATCAACGCAAGGTTAAGAATAGGGCCACGGCATGTCTGGAACACATAGCAAGACGACAAATAGAAGTGAAAAGGTTTCAATGCTCGACCAAATCTTGCCCTAGTAGTGGAAGTGCGCTTGCCTCAAGGACGACAACATCAACCACAAGGCACGATCTAGTCCCCGAGGGGCCATCAAGGCACAGATTTCCTGCCGCGGAAATTCCTGCACGCACCGACCACACAACCAGTAGGTCACCTGCAATATACCATCATTCTTTTTACTGAGGCTCCATTCGCGGTTTCATCGACCACAGAAAGGGCTCAGGCGTGCTATCAAATCTGCAAGCGGGGCATTCCACCGAGGCAACAGAGGCGGCGACGTGGCCGAGCGAAACGAGGCAGGATCGAACTTTGGGCTGCCATTGAACCGTTCCTTTTGCAAACACCGTGGGGCGTATAGAGCCCCAGCACACCCAAAATTCTCTTGTTGTACGCCTGCTTTCACCGTGTCGACTTGGTTGCCTCGTCTCGCCCCACAGTGGGGACCGAATCTGGTGGTTCCTGAGGGGTCCATGACAAGGCATGTCGGCGATCCGCTCTCCCCGAGACGCGTGTTCCACCACCGCTTTGACTTAAATCACGCCTGTGTCACGTTGCAAACCGGTCCATGGTAAAAAAACAAAGCATTTCGATAGGGCATCGTCTTCAGACCTTTTTAATACCCTGTTTCCACTATTTCTTCGGCCTCACATCTTTGACAGAGTCTATTTTCTTTCTTTTGTTGCGACCGACGTACGTACTATAGCTCTCCACGTTCACTTTGAAGTCTCTCCCCCACACCCACCCCCCATTCCTATTTTAAGCCGCCTTTTTTTCGACATCTGTATTTATATAATCATCAATGATGGGCATCTTGCGTCCATTGAATAGAGTTCAAATCTACTCCCTCTTGCACCAATTCCCACAATGGGCTCATCTCTCGCAAACGGGCAACGTTTCGGGACAGCAAGTCAATGGTGAAATCAACCTCCTCAACGGTGGTAAAACGGCCGATGCCGAACCGAATCGACGTGTGCGCCAGGTCTTCCCCTACCCCTATGGCCCGGAGAACGTACGAGGGCTCCAGGGATGCCGAAGTGCAGGCAGATCCGCTCGAGACGGCAATGTTCTTCAAAG